AAAGTGGAGATGACTTGGATGGGAAACGAATCACAATAGTGTGCATTGCACTGGCAATGCACACTGATAATCTTACACATTCTGAAAACAAGATGATTATTCTTACACAATCAGTTCTTTAGTAAATCAGTCTCAAAACAAGATCAAAAGGACTTTTTTGGCTGATATAAGATTTTAAAACTTGGTAAGATGGACAGTTTTTGCAGTGCAGGTTCTGTTTGTGGAATAAACCTGCTGCACTCTGCTGCCATCTGRTGGCGAACTTACTGAACTGCTCGAGTCGTTTAAACTCTGTTTGCCGTCATGCATTTCATCCTCCCTCCAGTACGGCCTGAAGAAGAAGGAGGAGAAGGAGGCGGAGGAGAAAGCTGCCATGGAGCAGGCCTGCGAGGGATCCCTGACCCGTCCCAAGAAGGCCATCCCGAGGGGCTGTGGAGACGACGAAGAGGACGAAGAGAGCATCCTGGACACTGTCCTCAAGTACCTGCCGGGACCTTTACAGGACATGTTCAAGAAGTAAAACAAAAGAAAAAAAACAAAACCAAGCAAACGAGCCCTAAAAACTGGGTCCGTCTGGCCCAGGTCAGGGGATTTGGGGCTGAGTCAGGAACTCTGGGGGAGTTATTTTGCGGGGTTTGTAGGCCAGGAGTTGATTCTAGATCTGGGAGGGTGGGCTTTYACGTAACTATTAGGGTCTGCACACTGCCTTTGTAGAGACCTTTGACTTTATTTTCTACTCCTCAATCTTTAATTTCTCCTTCTGCAGATTAACTGCTTTGATTCTATTTATATTTTCTCTTTATTTTGATCTTTTTAGAAAAAAAAAGAAGTTTTGACTTTCGGTTCTTGTTCCGGAGAACACCGTTCCACCGAGGAACCGAAACATCTTCCGTCACTGCCGCCGAGTTTTCCAGCATGTTGTTGTGTTCATACTGAGAGTTTTCTACTTTTACAAAGAGTTTCCTTTAGAAAAAAACAAACAAAAGAAAAAAACAAAGAAAAGAAATCGATCCACGTTTGCTTTTTGAGGACACGTGCCTTCATGTCATCTCCTCCTGCAGAGAAAGTGTAAATAAGGGTTTGTTTTGGGGTCAGGCGTGTGCACGGACACGTTTGGAGGCGTGTGTTCGACGGTCGGGGAGCGGACTTCATCCTTCACACCGACGCTTCGAGGAAAAGTTTCAATATTTTACTAAACCGTTTGAAAAAAGGTTGTCGTTCCTCTGACAGCTTCACAAACTGCCGTCGCAAAAAAAGTTTTAAATAATACGACAAAGGTGCAAAGTAACGAAGTACATTTACTGTGTTTTTTTGAGGATTTGTAATTTTACATTAACTTTGATTTTGTTACATTCAAAACAAAAAGGACACTTTTACTTCTTTACTTTATTATTTAACACCTCATCACRCATTATACATTTAAATACGATGAACTCATCGTGAAGAGTTGTTGATGCGCTCGAAAAACTGAAGAGTTCCATCCATCCATCCATCCATTTTCTGAACACGCTTCTTCCTTTTCAGGGTTGCGTGGGTCACTGGTGCCCAT